ATTTCATTTATAGAGAGCACAGAAAAGAGACTAAGTAGCTAATATATTGCAATCGTGGTTGGTCAATCTCTTGAAATGAGGTCAAATCATTCAAGCATCACTGGCGTTAGCTCAGTGGCGTTAGCTAATCTGGGGTCTGCAGGTAGCGTTAATAACGCAAGGACGTGGCGTAGTGAGTGGCTTTAACAACGCCACTGCCTAGTTCACACACAAAGGCGTACGCTACGCCAGGCTTAAGCCAGCCTTACGCCGTGTGTGTGAACATAGCCTTATTGTATTTACTACTTATGACGGTACCCAACATAAACTTTAGAGACATAATTAATAACAAAGTAGTAAAAACATTTAAACATAATTTTTTTTTTTTTTGGAGCAACTTTTAAGAATATCCAGACTGTAAAAATGGTTTTTTCAAAGCAGAGTTCCCAACGAAATGACTGGCTTCTTCCATACGGGATCCATTGTTTCCCAGTTGGGGTCTTTTCCCCACCCCCTGGATCCCCCAACTGACACCAACCCACTACTATGAGGATTGCGGGACTGCAGAATGTGCTAATTTCCAGGAGCCTGGGCCTGTTCAAAAGGCTATGAACAAACACATGGCCCCAATCAGAGCCCAACGTACCTATAGTTACTGTAACCTACATGCTCCAGATAATGATGTGTTATAATTAGTGACTGACAATAATTAGCAGGCAAAATTTATCATAGGTTGGTTTCTTCAAATTTAAATACTACCCCTTCTTATATAAGATTTTAAGTATAAAATTAAACTTTTTTATGCAAACATCTATGGTATATGCTATTGTAATTTTCAATTCAATACACATTTAAAATACATTTTATGAAGGCCTTATTAAAAGGGACCTAGAAAAATTATTTTTTTTTTTTAGAGGGGACTTTTATGTCATTAGTAATAGTCGGCAGCGCTACATGCTTTTTGGTTACAGTAGCTTACACTGATGTCTAGGTCCATTTTTAAGTAAAACCTTTTTTGTAACTATTGACAACGAGGGCAGCAAACAATAATTTCAGTACATTATAGTAATACTATAGTTTAAAAATTAAGATACAAGATACAAGAAAACTGATTAATCCTCATATAAAACTCATATAAAAACATACAAAGAAATGTTAGTTGTACTGCTTTTCAATTAAAAAAAACTAACATTTAAAAGACAAATTGCAAAGGGTGTACCAAAAACAGCAAGACTGAGTTAAAAAAAAAGTGATAACATTAAAAAGTTAACATTAAATCTTAAATAGATGACCAACGTCTATAAAAAGAATATAGAAACACTATTGTTTTAGCATCAATTAATTTGTGGGTCAAAAAATTAATTTTTAATTTGGAAACTAATAGCTAATACATCTACAAAGCAAATAATTCAAATACAGATTATAATTTCTAAATTTTAAGCTCAATTGATTTACAGCTAATAGACACAATCAGTGATACAGATCGCATGGCCTATATTAATGGGTATATACTGTAAACAGACAGTGCTTTTTATCTAATAATAATAATAGTGTAGTTTTATATAGCACACATATCCATCTAATGTAAGATGCTCAGGGCGCTTGATATGTGGACTAGGGTCCCTTCGTGTCTATGCTACCGGGTAAACCGGTACTAGCAAACTCTTGTCGTCCACCAGTGAAGCTCAGTAGGAAAATGCATGGTTTCTGCTGTAAGGCATATAGTCAATGTTGGACACCAGTAAACTATACTAAATTTATTGGAAATTAAACTTGAGTATATTGCATAATAGTTCGGTAAAGCTCCAAAACATACTGGCCTTAAAAATCTTTCGAGAAATATAAACACTATTTTGAACAATCATATTGCCTTTCTTTTCCATTATTTCTCACATTAACAGTGGGCAGTTTTTTTTGTAACCATAACATTACCTTTTCTTATTCTTTCACCCTGATCACACTGTAAGTTCTACCCACTATAAATATCATGACCACGTACTGTTTCCTAGTCACCGATTAGGTCTATAAATTTAAGGATTTTTGTATAGTCAGCCGAAAAAAACTATTGTTTTATTTGTGTCTCCTTAAAAAATTGAAAGTTATTTGTAGTGGCAACTTATGTTGCTGTTGAATGGTGAACAAATAATATACAATAAATAATAATAAAATAATCTATGTAGATAAGCAACTTTAATGTGTGTCTGCGATTAGTGATGGAAGTACTTTGTTTTCCATCAATTGATAGTTAATTTTAATCCAACAGATATCCAAGCGAAAAGCACAAAACACAATACAATTTTGAATTATCAGCTCATGTCACTTAAAACTTGAATTTCAATACAATTTTCTTTTTTCTACATTTTTTATATGATTAAAAAAAATTAGGGGGTCCCCTAAATTTGGAATCAATAAAACATTTATTTAACAAGTGCCAAATATAAATTTTTGTTTAAGGCACTTGTTCATGATGATGATTTCCAAATCTCTCTTAGAAAACACAACTCTGTATTCTACAGTATAAAAGTGTGAGAAAGTAGAAATGATGTGATAATTTCCTCTTACTACTTAAAGTCGAAACATTAATGACGATCACATTGAATTGAACCCAGAATGTGAGATGTAGAGGATATGCACTTTATCCTGAATTACCACTACAAAGCTTTAATAAATTTATATGCATGAATAACACATCTGGGATCTGATACCAAACAAACATCAAACTGTTTGGAAAGCATTATTGACAGACAGAACAACAATACAATATCATTATTGGTGTCAACTGTCAATCATAGCACTTTTGTTTATTAACCACTGGGCTCAACAAGGAAGTAGTATCAAAGTAAAACTGTAGCTTCATGTTGGAAACAGTGCAGCAGGTAAAGTAAGTCTGTTTTTGGTTAATATTCTGCCTCATATTTTTTTCTAAATTTTAATAATTAAATAATTTTAAATCCATAGCACTTAGTTTGACCTATCATTATAAATTCGAATTAGAAAAATATTTAGTTTCCATGATGAAAGTTGTAGGTCTACTTTCTAATAAAAGGAGCTAAAGCAAAAAAAAAGTGCACTACAATATCTAGCTTATTTAAGTTATACTGTACTTTGACTACAATATAGAGTTTTTTTTTATAAATTAAGAAGTTTAGATCATTTTTAACAGGTAATGGCAGAAAAATGTACAAATATCCAACTAATCTGTTTAATAATTAAAATTACAAACAAATAATTATACAGTAGTTGTAGGGTGACATTCCTAATCAAATCCTGTAATTAACCACAGGCTACAAGCTATGTACCTAAAGGTCAAAATCAGTAATGCTAAAATGTTGTAAACTTTGTATGCAGCATAATTATCATATACGGTACCATTTAAAATAGTAGTAAAACTATATAGAAGTATGAAAGAATTAAAAACTACCAGGAAGTTCATCTTGTAAAAATGACTACAACTATGATAGCATGAATTCAATGCCTTACCAACAATATTATGGAGTTCTATAAATGGAGCTAAGAAAATATGAAGCTACAGGATTAATTTGAACCTGTGACCTTTGGAAAACTGCAGTGTTCTCTGTCTCAACCAACTGAACTAAACCAATTGTAAAACTGCATCTTTCAGCATGGAGGCAGACCGCAACTTTCGACTTGAATCACCCTTAAGTTAATGAAATTGTGGAATAATAATTCCTTGGCCATCTAACCAACAGAATAAGTAAATTATTGATAAAGGTGTCAAAAATCTTCAGAAAAATGTATTACTTTGGGTTAACATGAATATCTGTTTTTTATTGTATAGTTTATTTCTTTATTAACACTTTTGTAAACTTTCATGACTGAATTTAAAAATACCCAACTACAACCTATGCTTGTTATTCTGCGATACACAGCTTCCATATTAAAATGATGTTAAATGATTTCTATAATTTTTTAGTTTTATATTTTCAGAGCTTTATTCTTGATTTACAATTCACTACGACATGATTAATTATGTTGAATAATTATGTAAGAGAAAAATGAGCTAATACTTTGATTAATTCTTCATCAACACTAAAAAAGAAATAACTTATTTAAATTTTCATGAAAGTGCCCCCAACTGCAATTTGTTTTTAGAAAACTTTTAATATATAACATACACAACACCTTTAGTGAAAAAAAATTTTAAAATTTACTCATAAACCCATAATTTTAATACTGGTATATGTTTTGCTATTAGATCGTCATGATCTGAAACACATACATACATATTCATATGAATGCACTTGCAAACATTTTAACATTAGAAGGCAAGTTTTGAAGCTTGCAGGTCAATGCTCTGAATTTACTGTCAACTGTGGCAAGATCACCTTGCATTCACATTGACTCACATTGTAGTACGTATCTGCAATGCTGTAGCCAGGATTTTTAAACAGTGCAGGACAATATCGGGGTGGACCCACTTTACACACAAATCTGAATAATGTGGACCCATTATACGCAAAAATATGTCTGGACCCATTTTCTAAAAGGTTAACCCATTTTAGGCAAAATATAAGAAATCTCCATTATTCACAAAGTGGACTCATTTTATGCATAAAACTCAATAATTTGAACCCATTTAAAAGTGTGGACCCATTCTTTGTGGACTCATCAGAAAATTTGTGGGACTGTTCCAATAGCTGGCTACGACATTGCGTGTCTGCATCCCACCACACTGGCAGAGATTGGGGTCTGAGAGGCTGATGCGGTGCATAAAAGCCTAACACATAATACACATTATAATCAAAACAAATATTAACATTTCACACAAAACAGAGCAAACACTAATAACAGGGAGCATAATACAATACAATATTATAAAATCAGAACATCATAAAATACACATTAATGTTTTATTTTTAATTATATCTGAATGCACACTGATAACTATAAAACCTGACCCAATCTAAATATTTACAACAATTGCAATAAGGAAGTTGAATTTCAATTACATGGTTTTTATTTTATGTTACTCAAACAGGTTACCATGCCATTTATAAGTGAACCATGGATTAAAATAACAGATATATTCACTGCAAGGAGTAAGAAAAATACAGACATAGTAGAAGAGAAGAGAATACATCATTTTACATTATCCATGATTTGTTTGCTCCACAAAAACGGTAAATATGACTCGGTATAATACCCATCTACGAAGTATGGCTTTCTTTTTGTACATACTGTACGTGCCTACTTGTATGGTAAGAGGATTAATCATTCAAAAAGCAGTACCTGGACAGAATGTATCTCTGCCTTGTATGGTTGACCAGGTGAATAACCAACAGACTGTTAAGTGGTGGAGTCACAGTCGTTACATCAGTTCTGAAAAAATTATTATTGATTCACTTGGCCTTATAAAAACATCTTTTGCTTTACCTGGTGAAGGTGCAAACTATAGTCTGTTCATTATGATACCTGATGAAATCACCATCTGGCCATATCTTGTAGAAACCTATGAATGCAGGTTAGTTTCAAACACTGATGGTGATGTTTTACAGAAATTAAAAATTTATGAACTGCAAATCTACCAGCCAGAATGTATAATCATCCACATTAATGGTAGCATATCAGTTCCTTCATGTTCCTATCAAAATATTCCAGAGGTCCAAGCAACATGGCTTGTTGATGACAGTAGTGTTCACAGCATAAGAGATTGCACATCTGACGTCTGTCCACTGAATTACACATTCAACCCAAGAGAAGTCAATCCACAAGATATTGAATGTAGTGTTGAAATCCCAAATAGAAAACTTTGGAGAATAAAATGTTCTATAACGCAGACACATAGTACAATACTACCACAAAAAACGGAGGTATCGTCACAATCAACTTCCCCTACTAAATACATTGATGTAGATAATTCACAAGGCACCATGGTCCAAACAAGCCCAGAAGGCCCTGTTTTATCTTCAACAATAACAACAGCAGAAAAAGAAGACAATGCAACACAATTAATAGTCATAATCTCAGTAGCAGCTTTAATAATACTATTTCTAATCATTATTATTTTATTTTTTGTAAGAAGGAACTTCAAAATAAAACAAAACTCTGCAATGAAATCACCACCAACAGATAAAAATGTATACTTTGAGAATGACCAACAAGAAGATACAAACGAAATTAGAATGATGGAAGGAGCAGCACAAAGTGATGACATCAATTTTAAGCAATCTTCTGAGGACAGTGTCATGAAAGAAAATGACATCTACCAATCCGCAGACACCAATTCTTATGAACTATCACCCGTTGTTAATGAAGTTAGTGTTGCCAAGCCAGGTGAAGCTAATTATCCTGACCGAACAAACAAGGCTGATGAAGAAATTAATGATTTTGTCGATGGTATAAATATGAATAAGAAAAATGATGGGCCTACTACATCACAGACACACAACAAGGTCAAAACATATGATGATTTGGGGTACATTGAAAAAGAGAATGAGGCTTACCAATCACTTAATGGTGAGTTCAATGTACAGTAGGAACAGGGAATTATGCTGGCAAAATCCAAGGGATTGTGGAAAAACATCAGTCATCGAGCAAGGAATCCCATAGTTTTTGACTGTTCATTTTTTAAAGTGTGAGAAAAAAAAACTTTAGACAGGTTTGGAGAATAAAAATATAAGCTGAACCAAACAAAATATGTATCCTTATTTTAAATGACTAGTTATGAAACCAACAATTTTGATATAAATTGCAATTTAATATTGCCAATAAAGAATTGGATACTTTAATTGGGAAGGGGTCACTACAAAACATTTGAGATACTCTGCATGAACATGGGTTTACATAGAATACACAGAATACAAAGTTTTAATTATAATCGTTATGGTACTTTTCAGTATATAAAACTGTTATTTTATAATATGAAATTACTGTATACTATATCAGGGGTCTCAAGTTTGTAGAAGTATTCCAGGAGATCTGCAGTAACAGATCTAGGAATTCGAAATAGAGGGGGCCAGTGAAGGGACTTTCATAGATGGAGATTCTACCTTCCTAAATTTATGATTGTGGCACCTCTAGATGGCCACAAATAGCACCCTCAGGCTTACATTTGAATAAAGTATTATTTTTTTCACCATTAAAAAAAAAATTTTTAACAATTGAGCCCCCGATCCATCCCTTTTGAATCTGCCACTGATTTGGTTAATAAGCTTTCTTAACTTTTCATTTTTTATTTTGCTGCCCATAGTGATACTATCGACACTGATTCCTGGGATATTCCTGTGAGTGACGGGAGACTTGGAACCCCTGCTATATAATGAAATACTGTACAGTTGATGCCATAGTTGTCTATACCTATCATTTAAGTGAATAAATTTGTACTGAAAATATTGTTTGTGTTTAATACACAGTAGTTATAATTAATTTTTTAATTGGATATTTGTGAGGTCTCACTACAAAATGAGTCTCATCGTTAGAAAATCAAAAAATGAGTTTATATTATAATTTTGTTAGAAGTTTAGGTGTATGAGAACCATGTTTTGAGAAAATCGGCCTCAAAGATAAACTAACCTGTACAAATAATAGTACTAGATTTACAGAATATGCGCAGAGAACAATGTTTTAGTAAGAAAATTCACTTAAAAAGTACACAATTATAAAATATAAGTATCAAGTTATTCAAAAACATTAAAATCACAATATTTGTTACGTTTTACTGCCTAAAGGCCTTGAGTTCCTATTATGTAAGTTAAAATATCGTAAAATAAAAATTTTACACTTAATACGAATCTACGAAAATTCTGAAAGAGAGTTGTCGCACTACAAAAGCACATGCAAGAATTAATTATTAAAATTACATTAGTACAGTACAGTGGAAGGTAGTACAATTAATTTGTCTAATGTGTAACTAAAAATATAAATTAAAATATAAAATTTACAAGGAATATTACTTAATACAATTTCTGATGATGCTTTAATATAAAATTAAAACATAGACTAAAATGGCCTTGTAAATTTTTTGGAGTAACACTCACACTATTTTAGACTTGCCACAAGTCTCTTATTTTTCTCATTCTGGACAGCGCCACCAACGAGAAAGTTAATTTAGAGACGGAATAAGCAAAAGAAATCGAGTATGGGAAGCCAATTAAATTAGGTATGGCGCGCACTAAGTGCAATAAAGAGTGAGTAACCTTAAATTAGGGCCTGGAACCCAGGCTAACACTATTTGTACTTAAACTTGTTTCCAATAAAGTAATATTTAATTAAAATTAATTGCTTAGTCTGTTTTACATACCAATTTTACATAAATTATATTTTGTGAATTGTAGATGAAACTTTTGTACCATGATTGTTTCTACACCTTTTAAATTATACCACATATTTGTACTTCCTTGGAAGGATGTTCAACAAATGTTACAACAAACAAAACAAACAAGTACATATAATTCGAACAAGACAAAATGTCACATGGATGGCATGCTAGGAAAAATTGAGCAAGCGTCACCTGGATGAATGGATTTATTCGGTGTGATACACACCAAGGATAACCCACAAAAGTCTAAAGATTTATTTCCAGTGGGGTCCTTCTGGTGGTGGTTGGGCAGTACACAGGGAGACAATCCCCTACTCTTTTTCACTAGAATTGTTTTAAAGATAAATACTTTAAGTAATTTCACTAATTTCAATCAAAGACTAGGTTTACTTAAAATCTACAAACTAATTAATTAAAAATATTGCTTAATATAATTTTAAAATTTTAAGCTAATGATGTGGTTTATCATTAAATTGGCTGGTATTTAATTTAAGGACATTCACAGTAAAGTCTATAAATCAGCCCCAACACGTTATTCTTTTTCATTTGTAAGTTATTTGATCTAGTGTGTAAATGACCAACTCAGTGTGTGTAATTGGTGAGGAAATTCATCTATTCTTGATCAATACCTTAAGTTTACATTAGTGTGTCCCAACTGTAATCTCTTTTAAGAAAGCTTAAAAAGTGTTGTGAAAAATTGGGTAGAAAGTTCCTGGCAACGGATTTGTTGTTAATATAGGATGTATTAAGAGGGTGAGAGATACACATGTGGACGGGTAAAAATAAAGACGAGAGAACAATATTGTTTGTGTCCAAGTCTATCATTTATTACTATTACTTTACTATTGGCTTGGCATCATCCTATGATGACAGAAATTGTCTTAATTTAGATGAGCCCATAATTTTAATACTGGTATCTCTCTCTTTAGTCCGATGGTGCAAATTGCGCTGTGGTGGCCATCACTATTTCACGCCAACACTCTCGATCACTAGCAGATGATGATGCTGCTGCCAGTCCTTGTCCAGTCCATTCCTTTATGTCACCTGTCATGATGTTGTAGGTCATCCACTTCTTAGCCTTCCTTCGACAGATCCCTGTATTCTTTGTCAAAATGATCTGAATTGCATTTTCCTCTCTGCCATCTATTGCCTCAGCATCATTGGGGATTTTATTTATCTATCACCCAACAGTTAGTTTTCCTTGCAGTCCAGGGGACTCTTAACACCCTTCTATATGTTCACATCTCGAAAGCATCAACTTTGCGCTTGTCAGATTTGGTCATAGCCCATGACTTACATCCAGAGGCAATGGCAAACGATGTTGCACGAAGCATACGTTCTTTGGGGTTGTTGCTCAGCCCTCTGCTCTTCCAGATGGTAACCATTTTTTTTTTGCATTTTTGCTCTTGCCATCTTGTAATACTGGTATATGTTTTGATATTTACATCATAATCATGTAAAACACATTATAATCAAAACAAATATCATAAAATTCACAAATGTTATTTTTTAAATTTTTGCTGAATGCACACTGGTACTATTAAATCTGACCCAATCTAAATATTTATAAGAATGGCGAAAAGGAAGTTGAATTTCAATTAATGGTTTGTATTTTATTTTCCTCAAACAGGTTGACCATGCCGTTTAAAAGCGAACCATGGATTAAAATAAAGGATATATTAACCTGCAAGATGTAAGAAAAGGCAGACATAGTAGAAGAGAAGACGTAAAATATATCTTTTTACATTATTCATGATTTGTTTGCTCCACAAAAACGGTAAATATGACTCGGTATAATACCCATCTATGGAGTATGGTTTTCTTGTTGTACATACTGTACATGCCTACTTGTGTAGTAAGAGGATTAATCATTGAAGCTGTACCTGGACAGAATGTATCTCTGCCATGTATGGTTGACCAGGTGATTAACCAACAGACTGTTAGGTGGTGGGGTTACAATGGTTACATCAGTTCTGAAAAAATTATTAGTGATGTATTTGGCTCTTTAAAAGCATTTTATGCTTTACCTGGTGTAGGTGCAGACTATAGTTTGTTCATTATGATACCTTATGACATCATGATCTGGCCATATCTTGCAGAAACCTATGAATGCAGGTTAGTATTAAACACTGATGGTGAAGTTTTCCAGAAATTAAAAATTTATGAACTGCAAATCTACCAGCCAGAATGTACAATCATCCACATTAATGGTAGCATGTCAGTTGCTTTATGTTCCTATCAAAATATTCAAGACTTCCAAGTAGAATTGCTTGTTGATGGCAGTGTTCACAGAATGGGAGATTGCACATCTGATATCTGTGCACTGAATTACACATTCAACCCAAGAGAAGTCAATCCACAAGATATTGAATGTAGTGTTGAAATCCCAAATAGAAAACTTTGGAGAATAAAATGTTCTATAACGCAGACACATAGTACAATACTACCACAAAAAACGGAGGTATCGTCACAATCAACTTCCCCTACTAAATACACTGATGTAGATAATTCACATATTGCAACATTACCACAAGGAACTGAAGTACCCTACACTAGACTGCATACTACAATGACTATTCAGAAGGAAAACAGTACAAATACAGATGTACCAGTTTCAAACCAGGGCCAAGGATTCATAACCATGGAGCAATTCACCATAGCAACTGCATGTACTTCTACTGCGATCTTCATTCTATTTATTATCGAGTTTTACAGATGCTACAAGAAAAGAGTGAACAATACAAATAAACAGTCTACAATGTCGCTACAAACAATGCATGTCAGCAATCAACTATCCGGTGGAACTGACTTTCCCATTAGAATCAAGGCCCAACAACAGTCTAGAACTGATATTGCTCCTTCTAAGAATTTACAAAATGTTCAAAACCAACTGTATCAGGAAAGCAATACAGCAATGCAAACATTTCAACAGATGGAAGACAATACTGCCCTCTACCATAGAGTTGGTGAGGTTTCAGATGCAACATACCAGATGGACTCAATTGTGAATGATGTCAATTATATTAACTATGATCAGGACCATGGTGATTACCTGGAAGTCACAGCCTGAGTTATGAAGCAAGATTGAAATACATCACACTTTTTGTGTGGCAGATTGTAGATCATTTGCTAAAACTGGTGGCTGGTAGTGGTGCACTAATTCCTCCATGCCTAATTCTATCCCATCTGTTGCTCTCACTGCATTTCATCAATTTCATTCAAAAAGAAACTTAAAACCACATCCCTTGTCAGCCACAACTTATTAAAATGAACCTGAGTATAATGTTTTTCTAATCAACTGTGAACAATCTGTCAAATGAACAGTGAAAGGTAATATAAGAGCAAAAATGTAAATAACACAACTACGTTTACGCAAGCTAGTCTATGCAGTTCTGAACAAATCTATTATTAAGTTGGTAGGCCCTTATGTTAGTAGACACATCTTCATAAAAATGTTGTTTCACCTTTGATAATCCTGTCAGGATTTTTTACTAAGTGTTTTTATATAATAAATAAGTAGTTGTAAGTTTGATTATAATCTTTACTGTATTTTGAATGTCTCTGACAAAATAGGTGATGATATATAAAATAAAACAATATTAATTTGAAATTGTAAAAAATGAATTTTGAAAATAATTTTCAACATAGATTTTTTGTTGACATTTGATAATGATTTTTTTTGCCAAAGAAAATCTGAAGATGTAGGCAGAAAAAATGTAAAAATAAAATCTGGAGGAAAAAAAATTATTGGATGAATAAAAAACAATTTAAGTTCTTAAAACAAGTAATTAAGGGTAGAAACTGGCTTGCTCAAGATTCCATCACATTGACGTTTAAAGAATGTGATGTGGCGATGTACATGTAATCAGTTCAGTAATTGGACTGACATGCTATACTCTATATTTACATAATTCTGGAGGAAAAATTTATCATGAGATATGGTGGTGGTAGGCAGGATAAAAGTAAAAACTAGATTTTGAACTTGACGTCACTAAGGATGAGTTAGGTGATCCGCTAAAGAAAGAATGAGGTTGGGGAGGGGGTCAGAAAAACATTCATTTTGACCATGATGACATCATCAAATTGAAAAATGAATGACAAATTGTGAAAGCAAACTGTCTCAGCTATAACATACTCAAAGGTGGGAGACCATCGATCAACAATAAGCGAGATACGTTTAAGTGAGTGTAAAATTAATGACATCATAAATAAAAATTTAGTTTTTTAAAATTCAGATGGCAATATTATCAAAAACTGAATATATATTTAGGTACAATAACTATTAAAATTACCACTGCCCATTCGGAGTTAAGGGCGGCGTATGAATATATCTCATTGTTATGCAGTCAGCCATGAATTGTGATGATCATCCCATGTGGGGAGCGGAGAATGACAGGGAGAGAATTGAGTGTGATTTGTTGTAATTGGTGTCGTTGAATGATTAAAAATACAGCATTTCGTCAGGAGGTATGTAAATATGAACATAATCATTGTTATATTGTATTACACAGGAGTAACCTCATGTAAATATTGTTAGGCTAGATGAGTTTAGGCAGGCTGAGACTCTTTTACATAAATCTAAGATTTCATTGTTTATGGCTACTGCATAGAAATTGCAGGTTTATCATATATTGTTAAAATTATTGTTAATCAGTTATGATGTTGTTTTATCCATTATGCAACTTATTAAGGCCCTATAAAAAATATTATTAGTTTATCACCCTATCTGGGCAGGAAAAGTGATGTGGGAGGGAGGCTTTTTTTTTTAAAATTTGCTAAAGCCAAATATAACCCTTAGTTTGTTTGCTGGTGCATTGATATTCAAAGTAAAACATGATTTAGATAATGCAAACTATATCTACTATCTATTTATTAAAATAAATTAAAAAATATTATTAATTAAAATTTTTCAAAAATTTTTTTTTTTTTTTTAAATTTTCAAATTTTTTTTTTTTTTTTTTGGTACCATAAAAGGCATGTGCGCGAGGGTGATAAACTAATAATTTTTTTTATTGGGCCTAATTAGAAGAAAGATAAATGATTTTGAAATTTAGAATAATGGGTGTTGAGTATTGTAGAACATGGTTGCTCTCACAGTTATCCATTAAGAAAGTAGAGTCAATGAGCGGCCGATGGTGGCGCTATATGTAAAGTGAACAAGATGGCTGCGCAAATGGAGTTAGTGTGTAACGATTAACGAGTTGGTCTACTTATAGTTAATTATTGTGTCGCATAGGAATATAGTGTGATTATATTAGAATGTGTATTAGGTGAGTTTAAAGACGTTATGTACATTTTATCAAAGATTTTTGTGAGTCCCATGAGGTGAAGAGAAACAGTTAAAGTCTGGTACTCTATTAAAGGAGAACTTGAAGTATTATAATATGTACATACCTTTGTTGTGTAAGTCAGGATGGCCAAGTTATACTTGATAATACTGTGACTATTTATTGATGTTTACATTGAAATGATATTATTTGTTATTGGTTTGAATATGCTATGAATAGCAGTAGCATGTATAACTTTGGAGTACAGGCCTGATGCTTAGATTGAAAATCAGCTCATATACCACTATTGTTACGATGATATTATTAATGTGATATTAATAGTGATATTATTAATATTATTTGATGTCGTGATTTTATATTATTGAAGGTAATCTTACATGACTAAGTAAATTACATGACTGCAATGAGTTGTTAGTTCCCACTGAATATGATTCAGAAATGATTAATGGTAATATTATAAGGGGTCATCAGAGTTATGAGGAAAGAAATATGAGGGGGAGGGGGGGTGGTCAGAAAAAACATTTTTTTGACCATGATGACGTCAACAAAATGTAAAAAGAAGACGTCATAGATAAAACTCAGTTTTTTGAATTCAGATGGCAACATGATGATGTCACAATGTCTGATCAGCCATTATGATCTATAAAACTATATTTACAACTCACATGCTTTCAGAATATGTAATAAAAATTAGTCGCCTTTCATCCTAAGGAGCTATAACTGATTAAGAATAGGCCTGATGTTAGCATATTTTCACTGTATATCGGCACAAACGAACGCAAATCCCTATGTTTGATGCGCGCGTACGGCATTGCTATTGGCCATAAGATGACTGAAAAGAATGGAAATTTGTGGAAACAATGTCAGGAACCCAAAATATGTAAAAAAATATAATTTCTAGCTTCCGTACGTGCTGCACGTGTATTGGAAAATTTCAAAAAAATTTGAAATGCTCAAAATTTTCTGAAACGTGCTCTAATTTAGTCAAAAAGTGATTTTAAGCATTTTGAAAATTTGATGCACGTGTGCGCGTCAGAAATATTTTGGTACGTGGTATTCAAGCCTTACCTGAAGATTATGCCCACTGAATATGAATTAGAAATGACAATTGGTTAGGATGATATGATCGATAGTAAAAACGCAAAATTGCGCGTAGATGACGTCATGCATGACTGAGCACATTGAAAAAATTATGGTGACTATTCCAGGCCTAGCCAAATGTTCGTTGAAGTGCACATGTACGTAGCTCATGCCAATTTTGAGATATCGTGCTATGACAAAATGGGGAGAAAAGGTAGGAAAAAAAAAGATGATCTCTGTCAATAACAAGAGGTGATCCGCTCGTCAAGCGGATCACCAAAAATCAAGCTCTCTAGAAAAGGAAAGCGCCACAGATTGACCTCTGTGAGTTACTGTAGCATGGGTTACTATATTTTAGGTAAGTCATGGTAAAATTATGATTGAGAAGTATTCCTTGTTGTTGCATAATAATAAACATTAACATACTGTACTAGTTACCTGCTATGTTCTGTTACTTTTGATACGTTAAAGAATAATAAAAAGTGAAATATCACAGAAAAAGAAAATATAGTAATTGCATTCTACAGGTATCACACAACCT